GTCAGCTATGGGTTGGTTCTGACTCGACGGTACAAAAATACAAGATACAAATTTTGCTGATTTTTAAATGTAATCTTTTTAAAATTAAATGTTAATTGTTTTAAAAATAAATTAGCAAAAGTAAGATAAATGAACAGGCGGGCGCCCCTTCAACCTTGGGAGACATCCATCCATACCCCACTTGGTTTGGGTCCTCGGTCCTCCTGAAATAACTCTCCCCTCGGAACTTACTGTTCTTCCACCAAGTGTTTCTGTAGGGAATCCATTTTTCGGTGGACCACAGGCTCTTCTAGCCAATCGCAGCCTACTAGACATTCTGATTGGCTAGACTTCGCCCACGTGCTCTTTTCTGCTCCTCTGGTTGGCTAGGGGCTGCCTGGAACGCGAGGATCCGCTCCCCCGTTTCCTGGGTTACAGGGCGGGTGTACGGCGTTCGGCGTGCGGCGAGCTGGGGTCGGGGGCTCCTGGACCAGGGCTCGGCCGCCATGGCCAGCGTCCACGAGAGTCTCTACTTCAACCCCATGATGACCAATGGGGTGGTGCACGCCAACGTGTTTGGCATCAAAGACTGGGTGACCCCTTATAAGATCGCGGTGCTGGTGCTGCTCAACGAGATGGGCCGTACGGGCGAGGGCGCGGTCAGCCTCACGGAGCGGCGGAGGCTCAACCAGCTGCTCCTGCCGCTGCTGCAGGTGAGGCCCCGGCTCCGGGGTGGTGCGTGCAGGACGTCGGCCCGGGGACGGGAAGCGCCGATCGTGACCCCGGCACCTCGCGCTTTCATGGCTCTCGCGGGGTCTCCAGGGTCTCATCCTGCCCCCCCGTATTTCTGGGCTGAGTGACAAGGGGCAAGTTCCTTCCGCAGGCGCCCCGCCTGGATGACCGCATCAGCAGTGATAGTGGCAGGAGGAGTGAGGGTTGCATTTAGGTGCCGAGGTGCTTAGGGCTCCTCCAGTCCACCCAGGGCACCGTGCAAGGGCCTGGCGCTCTTGACAGCTTGGTTTCTCCTCTTCTGAAGCACTTCTGAGCACTTTGCACGTTGTATTTAGTCCCTAGGGCTCATGTTCCCACCGCTTACAAGCTGTAGAACTTGGGCAAGGTTGTAACCTCCGTGCGTCTCGGGCTTTGCACTGCGGTGATGGCCTCTGTAAAGCTCTCCCCAGCCTGGCACGTTGTAAATAGTCAGCGTCGAAGTATTTCCGTTCCGATTTTCTCTCGTAAGACATGAACCGCCTCCTTTTATATCAGCTGTGATTTTTCCATTTTTATCTGATGCTGTGATTGACATTCTTCCCCCAGTTCGTTATAACGTCTGTGAAGGGCAGGACTTGGTCCCCTTTTTGTTCATCAGTGCATGAGCAGAAACTAGCCCAGGTGCCCGAATAGGTGGAATTCATGCGATCTGCCTTTCTCCAGGAGTAAGGATGTACTCGGGCAACGGGGGTGGGGTTAGGGTTAGGGTTAGGGTTAGGGTTAGGGTGAGGCTCTGGCTGGGGCTTGAGAGAGGAGCGCTTGGCTGTTAAAGAATGGTGGTTGAAGAAATGAAAATTTGGGACCCCAAGTGCCCAAATTAGGGATCTGAAGAAGGAAATATAATGACGTTATTACCTAGGGTTGCATTTGGAGTACCTTGGAGAAGGACATGATGCTTAGAAGGGTGGAGGGTTGGTGAAGGAGAGGAAGACCCTCGACCAGGTGGACTGATACCTTAGGTTGCATATTTTTGTCTGTATTGGGACTTCTTAGGGTTTTCAGCACATAGTCCCCTAGGTGCCTGAGATTGTGTCCTCCTTGTCTGGCATGGGTTTCTCGATGGCCTTCAGTAAATAAACCCTCTCAGACTTTGTGAGCTTTCTCTGTAGATCTAAAGAAGGCATCAGCATTTGATCGTTTTTTTATAGTTTCAAGAGTGCTTCTCACTATCTTCCCTAATGTTTCCCCAAGTGAGAGAGCTTGTATGATTATCTCATTTTACTGATGGGGACAACAGGGACCAGGGATGTTACAACTTTGTGGAGATTCTTGACTTAAGGAAGGAAAAATAGTAACATTCTCTGCTTATGGTGTGACTTTAGGGTCTGGGTAAAAAAGTACACAGTCTTGCTTCCTGGGTTGAGATTTCATGCCTGGAATGATTGGTTCAGCAGGCTGGTTGGTGGAAGTGTTCATATTTGCCACCCTCTGTCAAGCTCTGTGTTTTAAAAGTTATTTCTCACCTCCCTTTCCTCCTTTACCCAGGGCCCAGATATTACACTGTCAAAACTGTACAAGCTAATAGAAGAGTCCTGTCCTCAGCTGGCAAATTCAGTACAGATCAGGTAAACGCCATCTTCTTCTGTATATACGTGAAAAGCAGTCACGCTAGGTGGGTCAGTAAGGGGAATAGAGTAATTGATCTTTTTAAAATGGGAGCGTTATTCCAGGTAGTTTGCTAGTACTTTTATTGAATATTTTTAACAGATAATATTAGATACACTACTTTGCCGTTTTCTTTCAAAGCATATTTTTTTATTATTGTGATCTTAAGGAAAGTGTACAGAAAAGTTGGATTTTCATTCATTATTGTTGCACATTTTTTCTCCTTACCTCCCAGTTCATGTTTTTTGAAAAAGAAAACATTCATTTATTGTTGCACAAAGCATATTTTTATTATTTTTAATTTAAAATTGTAGTTTGAGTGAAAGCTTACAAAGCAAATTAATTTTTCATTCAACTGTTCATTCATACTTGTTTTCTTCCATCACGTTAGTATCAGTCCCCACAGTGTAGTCATGTTTTTCTGATTTCTCTATATAATTCTGACTTTCATTAATCATTGTACACCTCTGTGTCTTCCCTCTTTAGAATCATTGTACTGACAGTTCCCTCACTGTATATTGCCTTTCCCTTTCCTTATCTTAATGATTTGTTCCGGTGACATATTTAGGGAGTGCTGGTGGCTTAGTGGTAAGGAATTGTGCCGTGCAAGCAAAGGTATGTTGTTTGAGTCCACCAGTTGCTTCACGGGAGAAAGATGGGCAGTTTCCTCCCATGCGATTAACTGCCATTGAAAATGTGCTGGAGGGTCAGCTATGGGTTGGTTCTGACTCGACGGTACACAACAACAACAACAATTACCTGTTCACTAATTTTTGCTCCTCATTCCCTCCCTGGAAACCATTCAAGAATGAGTCTGTGTGAACCTTTCCTCAGTTTTTAAATACTGGTTTTATATGAGAATAGCCTTGTTGTGATTGGTTTCTGTTAGGAAGCATCATTTCCTCTGGAGTCACCCACACTGTATAGTGTTTCTCAAGTTCCTTGTTGTTTTTCAGCGCTGTGCAGTACTTCACTGGTGTTTCGTGACGAAGCATATTCTAGGTGGGGTCTCCTTTGTAGTTGTTGCTGAGAATTCTTTTTTTACGCCATGGGCCCGAGCGTGGCAGGGATGGGGCAGGACAGGGCAGGGCCGGGCCGGGCAGGGCAGGGTCAGCTCTGTTCACAGGCTTGCTGGGAGTCACAGTGGCTTGACGGCACCCCATGACAACCACAAAGATGGAAAATCGGGACTTGGCCTTTATCTGAATTGCTTTTGGAAGAGGTTAATTTCAGCTGATAATTGTGAAGTGTGAAATGTAAACTGCAGGTGTTCAGGTGGCCTTACCAAAGTATGTAACCTCCGTTTTTTCATTCAGGATCAAACTGATGGCTGAAGGTGAACTGAAGGACATGGAACAGTTCTTTGATGACCTTTCCGATTCTTTTTCTGGAACGGAGCCAGAGGTCCACAAGACGAGTGTCGTAGGTACGGAGCACTTCTGGGGAGAACGGCTCTCAGGGGGCAGCGTCTTAAATCGCACAGTGTTGTAGGTACGGAGCACTTCTGGGGAGAACGGCTCTCAGGGGGCAGCGTCTTAAATCCCATGTCATTCCTTGTCCGCATGGAGAACCCCCGTGTGGCCATTGGGAAGAGGGCGTGCTGGTCACACTTCGTACTTCCCTCCTTGCCGTTTTTTGGTCTGTGCTTCAGTAACCCACCTGCAGAAAGATGTCCTCTGTTGCAGAAAGATGTCCTCTGTTTCTGTCCGCACCTGTCTTCAGTGTCAGGAGCCTGGTGGCACAGTGACTTAACTACTAACCAGAAAGTCGGCACTGGGGGCCCAGCAGCCACTGCTTGGGAAGAAGTGACTCTCTGCTTCTGTGAGGGTCTCCGCCTTGGGACCCCAGTGGCTCGTTCCCCTCTGTCCCGCAGAGCGACAGACTGTATTGTATGTGTGTCCAGCAGAGTGGCTGTGGGGTGGGGTTCACATGCTGGCCGTGAGGTTAGAGTGTCAGGTCGCAGGGCCAGCAGCGTACACCTGCTCATAAGCAGAGGACAAACCACCAAACCGTCGTGAGAGAGAAGCTACTAGAAGTGCGTCATCTGAAGAAAAGCCTGCGTTGAGGACGCACAGGGACCTTTCTCCTCACTCAGCGATTCCCTTTCAGGGGCCACGTGCAATCGTTGTTGCCTCAGGCCCAGTTCCGTGGCACCCTTCCAGCGTTCGCGCGTGTCACCTTTCAGGCACACCCGTCCACCGGTCGGTTAGGCGCTCTGTCCCTGAAGCTTCGTCTGTGCTCTGGGGACGGTGGTCACTGTGTACTCGTGGAGGTTTCCCTTCGAGAATCGCCTCTTTAAAGGCCCTGTGCTCCTGGTGAACCTTCCCCACTGGGGCTAATCTGCTTTCAGTTTAAAGATGGTTCATGCTTGTTTTCAGGATTATTCCTGGGCTTGCGATTTGAGTCCTTGGCGTTTTTCTGTCAGCTTCCTAGCCAGTCCCAGTCCTGCTGGCCTTTTGCACGCGTTCCGCCCCTGGTGGATGACAGGAGATCATTTTTCTCTGCTCTGAAGGTCGAAGTGGAGCCCCTTGGTGTGCAGGTGGGAGAGCTAGATGGTGAAAAGTGGAGACAGTTTTTTCGGAGAACAGCCGTGTCCGATTTAGACTCTTTGAGTGGCGTTAAAGCCTGTGCCACAACCTGGCCATGGTGATGCCACAGCACCACGCGGTGTCATGTACCCTTGTGCACGGGGTCACAGTGTGTGGTGCGTCCGCCTCTACCGTGGACGTGAACTCTTCTTTACCAAGTGTGTGGTCTGTCTTCAAGGTTTAGTCCCTCCTGACAACATACCCAAATACACGAGATGAATCCTTACCCTCTGGCTTGAGGGAGCTCTCTGGCTGTCCTCCTTCCCAGACGGACGTGTCTGTCCTTTTAGCAGGTCATGGCAGGGCAATGCCAGGGCCTGGTTTGGGCCTTGAGGAGCGAGCACTGAGGCAGGTGCCCCGAGGAGCCTGCGCGTCAGTTCATGCTCTCACCTAGTGCGTGTCTGTCTTTGCAGGTTTATTTCTGCGTCACATGATCCTGGCCTACAGTAAGCTATCTTTCAGTCAAGTGTTTAAACTCTACACTGCCCTTCAGCAGTACTTCCAGGATGGAGAGAAGAAGACAGCCCATGACACTGACATGGAACTGACGAGTAGAGAGGAGGGCGACGGAAAGCTGGAGAAGGAGGACCTGGATGTGTCTGTCAGGTAACTGGGCTGGTGCGTCCGAGTGCTGTCCCTCCTCTCCTGGGCTCCCTGTCGGTTAACCCTGGCTGGTGTGGCCCGGGTCTTGTCCACTCCTGGGGCCCTCTGTCTGTGGAAGTAGCTTGGCTTCGGTGACACTGCGTGGGGACTGGTGTGTAGCCCAGCCCACAGCTGGGAGGGAAGGTGGCGGCAGCTCCATGGGAGCCCTGGATGGCGTTCAGCAGGGCTTGTGGGTAGATGAGGCCAGGAAGGCCAGGAGTGGTGGGCTCACTGGGGGAGGGTCTCATCCACCCTGTTAAACTGTGTGAGCTTTACCCTGGAAGGTCACGGATACCTGCCCAGTGAGGACCCCTCAGGACAGATAGGGAAACCAGCATAGACCTGCATGTGGGAAGGGCCGTGCTGTCAGCTGTGAAGAACATAGGCATTCAGGTCTGTCGCTGACCACACTGACCACGGACATGTACACTGCACCGTTCTGTTTTTACTCCTCGCTGGGGTTTGGGGGAAAGCTCATGGAGTAGTTTGGGTTTCCGGTCACCAGTTTGTGTATGTCGTCTGTGACCTTGGCTGCAGTGTCCCCGGTAGCAGCCCTCTCCCACTTCCTGCGGGTTCCTGCCCCTTCCTGTTGTCTGAGCTGGACTCAGGGCTCTGGGTTTCTGTGGTAGGTCATTCTGAGGACCCCTTGCGCCCTGAGCTCACTGCTTGCTTAGTTGACCTGTCTGTTGTTTGACTGAAAGGTGGTCCAGAGATGAGTCTCATTCCA